AACAGGTGAGTTTACCTGTCTTCAACAAAAATGGAAGGCAATGTCATAGTAAGAGGAAGAGTTAGGATGAGAGGGACAGCCCATAGAGATAGGGGGGTAGCGAGAGGAAGAGGTAGACCTGGAGGACGTGGACAAAGAAGATGGGGACCAAATTTATCAGATGCTATTCGAGTAACCTTGGTTAACCATGTTGTAAACCATGGGTTGACATTGAGAGAGGCTGGACAGAGAGTTCAGCCCAACCTCAGCAGGTATACTGTTGCTACAGTAATTCGGACATTTCGACAAGAGCACAGGTAAAAAACAATTTTCTCTGCTGTGTACAGTACAACATAGCCTACTATATGACCTCCATCAGTACTATTTGGTACCATTCACTGTGTTCCATGTTTGAGACAATGTCTTGTGTGCTGTCTTGTGACATTTACTGTAACATGTATTTTGATTGATCTACATAGGATTTAGGGTCGAGAACGTAGAGGAGAAAGGGGCCCCATATTCACAGAGGAACAAGAGAGAGCTATCATAAACATGGTTTTGGCCAATAATGCGATACGTCTCAGAGAAATTCAGACAAATATCCTGAATGACCACAGTTTTCAATAATGTTGATCAGGTCTCTCTATCAACACTGGGGCGACTCCTTCAAGAGTGCCATTTGAAAGAAATTCTGAAAGAGTAAAAGACCTACGGCATGAATACGTGGAGGTAAGTAATGTACACTTCAGTATTGTCCACTGCACACGGAACCTTTTTACATGTTCTCTTTTTTTTCTCTCTCTCAGAGTTTTGCTAATTGATGCTGATCCAATCCCACATGAATTTATCTTCATGGAAGAGGCTGGGTTTAACCTGATTGGAGTAAGAAGAGGGAGAAACATCATTGGCCATATAGAGCCTTTGAATGTCCCGGGCTAACGTGGAGGCAACATCACAATGTGTGCTGCAATCACGCAGAATGGGATCCTCCACCGCCATGCCAAGTTAGGCACTTACAAGACGGCCCACATTCTCACATTTTTAGACAGACTTCACAACATTGTCACAGCAGAAGAACAAATGGATGCAGAGCAGATGAGATACATTGTCATCTGGGACAATGTATCTTTCCACCGATCTGCTCTGGTCCAAAACTGGTTTCATGATCATCCACAATTTTCACTCCAATACCTCCCACCATACTCTCCCTTCCTCAACCCCATTGAAGAGTTTTTTTCGGCATGGCGGTGGAAGGTTTACAATCTCCAGCCCTATGTCAGGATACCCCTCATTCAAGGCCTGTGACCTAATTGATGCAGGGTCTGTGCAAGGATGGATTCGCCATTCAAGAAGATTCTTCCCTCGCTGTCTTGCGAGAGAGGACATCGCCTGTGATGTGGATAAAATGCTATGGCCAGATCCAGCTAGGTGAAGAGATGATGCTTAGGATGTTTTTCTATATTTTTTTTTTTACTTTAAACTCATGCTTTTTTGTCTCCACATGTTTCTGTTTGTGTACTATATTGTATTTAGAATATGTTCTGATTTTCAGTGCAAAATGCAA